ATATATATATATATACATACATTTAGGGGGGGTGTCTTTCTGATGTATGCATTCTGCGGTTAATTTGCACTTATTCTTTCAAAAACCTACATGTTCACCGCTGATTCTCCATCGTCTGTTTTCTTTTCTTTCTTTTTTTATACTGTTTTTAAAATGCCCTCGTTCACCTCTTGTCGAGTCCGGAGCAAGGATAATGAATCAAAGGTGGCTTAAAAGGAGAAGCATGTTCAACCCGGTAAGTAAAGTATCTACAGACTTGAATAAGTGTTCGGGGGGGGGGGGGTTCTGAATATAAATTATCATCCCCGTTCACCTCACACAGTATTAACCAACGCACCACAAAAGGCACTGCAGCTTTAGGTACGCGTTCATGACTTCTCTCTATCACTGACAGATGTATTAGGCTAAGTAAAATATATGTATAAAAAAAAGCATTAGCGATCTATGGCCACCTCATCTCGCCGATTGGAGATCTTTACCTCCCAGGTTTTTTTAATTTTTCCCAGAATATGATAGCAAAGGGTTAAGCAAACATTTAACTCTTTAAGGAGGTCCTTTCTTCAACTGAATTGATGATGATATGTAGAAAAACACCTGAAAGTGAAGTATCGAAAATGGGGTGGGTTTGTTTTTTTTGGGGGGGGGGGGGGGCATCCGTTTCGTTGCACTTTTGATGGGTTTTTTTAGTATATCGTGTGTCCAAAGAGAAAAGACAAATAGGCTACTGTTCTAAAGGAGCTTTTTTTTTAGTTTCTACACTTTGATGACAATTTAAAACGACATCTAAAAATTGTTAATGAATTTCCACGGACACATATTTTTTAAAGAGAGTGATTGGTTAACTTTAGAAAAAAAGGTTTTAAATCAACGGGAATCAACAAAGAAATTAGTGAACGTTTCTTCTGTTTTTCAATCAAGCAGACACATCAGTTCATGTTTAGCATAGTTGGATGGGGAGTCTGTTGTAAGCTTAGTCGAGTGTGAGGACCCGCGTGTTGCAAAGTGGAGCAGTGGTGCCGCGTGATAGAAATCATCCATTCTACTCACTAAAGATTCTATTGAAAATTGTCTTCACTTATTAGTTTTTCGTAAGCTTGTTTTGTTTTGAACATCTTCAGAGGAAGGATCTAATGTGCTGCTAATGTGAAGTGGTTTACTGTAAAATTTACACTCGGCTTAAACTTTGTATATAAAACAAACCCTCTTGTCTCCTTGCGTCGAAACAGACATTGTAAAACTGGATGTTACTGAAACTGTGAGAACTGGGTTTTTTTAAAGAATATTCTGTCCGCCATGTTCAAACCTCTGGATTACGTCAAAGTAAGGTGAGACTTCTCGACAGCTCTCGGGTGCATAGTGTTCAATAATGTCTAGCATGAATTCCCGATGAACTGATGATATAGTATGTAGAATAAAGGTCTATCTAGATCTATAGGCTTTAACTGAAAACAAACACGTTTGTTTTTGAGACGATCGAGTAGGCTATAGGCCGAAAACACTTCTGGGGGTCAATAGCATTTCAAACCTATGTGCGAATTCCCAGTGCATTAAAATGTATTATGTAGAAGATTAGATTAGAAGTGTTATAAGAGAGTAACAAATACCAAAAAAAAAGGAGAGATTGGGACGATAGAAGTTTGATTAGAAAGCAGGACTAAACCACACGAAAGCACCACCCAACCACCCACTGACAAGGACATGTATGCCTCTTAAATTTGATGTTGCCTAGGGCTCGGTATTTGGGCCGGCTATTTTCCCACTTATTAACAACATCTTGTTAACATTCTTTGAAAATACTAAATGACTAAATGAATTACCATCTTTATACATATGACACACAAATGTATATTGCTGGCAGCACTAACGACATCACCACTATGACTAACGTGACAAGCCAATGTATGAAAGACATCACGCTTGGATGAACAGCAATAAAGAAAGATATAAAAGAAGTTTTTTACCATCTAGCATAAGGCTTTTGTCAGAATGAGCATAGATGTGTGTTGCTCTTAGAGTATGTATCTGTATATAACTCCAAAGGTCTAGTATTTAAACTCCTGCATGTGGCTGAATGATGCATTTGATGTAAATGTACATTTTGTCAGCTTTACTTCTCCTTTCATATTGAATTTTAATGAGAGTAATATATATGATTTTTTTTTTTTTTTTTTATTATGTATACCTGCATGTGTTTTTACGGTCCTGTACAGCCAAGGAAATTTTCCCTCTGGGATAATAAAGTACTACCTTATCTTATCTTATCTTATCTTAAATTTAAATTCAATGAGGGGAAAAAACAGACACCATGCTCATGAAACATAGCTACATAGTTGTTTTTTTTAACTACACTAAAGATAAATTATCAATTAGCGAGCACAACATCCACATAGGTGACATGGTTAGAACAGTTCTCCAAATGCAGTTCTTGACAGAGATAACATCAATGGTCAAGAAATACGTACCGTAACAGCAAGAGAGTAAAAAAAGAAAAAAAATTATGTGTGTACATGTAGTTTTCTACCTCATCTTGGCAATGTCCTTTTACATAATGGGATGTGTAAAAGAAATTGTACAACCAGTTCCGGAAAACTAGAAGCATTAGAAGGTATCTCAATGAAAACACACCCAAAATGCTGGTAACGTCACTCGTACTATCAAGATTAGATTTATGTAATATTCTTTTCTTACAGGACTTCAAAATAATCTTTTGCAACGCCTCCAAATAGTTCAAAATTCATACTGCCCGACTCATGAATAAAGAAAAAAGTAGAACCCATGTGACCCCAATCCTGAAAACGATATCTACATTGGTTTCTTCTTCTTCTTCTTCTTCTTCTTCTTCTTCTTCTTCTTCTTCTTCTTCTTCTTCTTCTTCTTCTTCTTCTTCTTCTTCTTCTTCTT